GTTTATACATTTAACGCGGATGCAACGCAGTCTATCATAGCTAGTATATAATAAATATACGTTAAGTATGTATAATATATATGTTGTATTTTGTAGTAGTCAGGGCCAATTTTTTATATAAAATACATTATTATTTCTATTGCAGTGACAACCCTGTTGTGTTCTTGCGGTACTTTATCGGGTCGGAATCGGCCACACGTGTGATGTCGAGTTATGTGAACGTATGCCACCGGTATAGAGTTATTTCACAGTTGATTAACATCGTTACATTGTTAACCACAAGATTCCTCTTCAGAACTTATCGTATATATATATATGTCTAGCTTACGAATTCGTAACTTGATCTATATAAATTATAGCTGTAACCTTAACTTTAATTAATGAATTGACTTTTTTTTTTAGGTACATACATTTAAATTTATTACTAGTATTTACATAACCAAATTGTACAACTAAGAACCTAAAATTAAAAAGCTTAAAAAAAAAATAATAGTATGATGACTAAAATATATTATTAAAAGGGGTCCCTTTAGGCAACGTTTTGCAGATACTGGCAGCGTTCCCTCTTTGAATAGCTAGACTAATTCTTTGTCCAAGATAGCTGCCAGCTATGTCTAGCTATATATAAGATGTTACTATGTTGTTGGTCGAGACGATGTATATTACACATGATAATAGACTGACAATATGTACATAGAAATAATGTTCTTATATACTAAATAACAATAGGAAAATGTAAGGTGGGGTGACACAGTTTAGACACGGCAGTGCCTAGTAGACAATATTGGATTTGTCTTACTAGACACTATTGAATGCAATTATTATTTTGATGTATCTAGGTTACTGTGATTATACCATATGATTAGGAGGTCCTTGATAATATAAAATGGTAAATATCTCGCTATATAATGTGTGCACATGAAGGGTCTTTGATTACCTTCGCTAATGTTTTTAAGTAACTTCAGATATTAATGATTTTTATATCTTCTGTACAACAAAAATGGTGTGCATTTTTTGTGTACCTCGAGAAATTAAGTTTCACAAATAAATGAACAAACCTAATGAAGTTAGTAGGTATATATTTTTCATAAAGATTACGGATACGAAATTAAATAAATTAAAAAATTGATATGTCAATAGTATAGAGTTAATTACACTTTAACATCGTTACATTGTTAACAGAAAGATTTCTCTTCAGAATTTATCGTATTCAACTTATCTCATTTATATCTCTATCTATATTTTATATACACTATGTACCAATAAAAATTAAAATATATATGTAAACAAAAATTAGAAAAAAATTATGAGTGTCGGCCACACTTATCATTTAGAGGTATAAAAATAGATATAAAATTTTTCTCAAATCTAGTAATATACATATAAAATTCCATCAAAATCAGTTTAGTACTTTAAGATTCCATCACGGACAAACAATAATCAACAACAATATCTCAATAATAGTAGTTATACATATAAAGTTTCATCAAATACAGTTTAGTAGTTTAGGATTCCATCGCGCACTCGCTCGAAGCATATATTTGCCAAAAAAGTCTTTTTGGATTCGAATTCACATACTGTGGTGTCAAAAGAACTAAACCACGACGCTTTTATAAAAACTTCTTGCGTAAAAATCGCATAGGGACATTCTATAAACAGATTTCACAGCTCGTGTAATTGCAAATTTTACGGACAGAGCCATCGTTTACCACTCAAGCGACACGTTGAGAAATCCGATTTGTGGCCGATGGGAAAATTCACCATAGCCGACGCCACTGTTTGTTACAGGCGGGTCGATTTGATCCGGACCTAGTGGTGATTAAAATTAAGTATATTAAAACCACCGTCATAACTAATCCTATTGATAACAATCAATTTTTTTTCATTCAAATTACGCAAAGTTATATCATCCTAAACTACAAATTGGTCAATATTTTGTGAATAATAGAATCAAAAATAAAAATAGTGACACTGCTGCTCAAGTATAAGTAAATGTTATGATTTAATTTGTTTTATCAAATCAAAATATCTTTATTCATGTAGGTCTATTACAGACTCTTATGATATATCAAATCGGAATGATTTCGATATGAGAAGAACTGACAAGAAATTCAGCTCGTATTCTTTTGAAATAATATTTATTTGAAAAGAATAAGAGCTGAGTTTCTTATTATCGAAATTGTTATAGAAATCATTCCGTACTGACGGTAGATTTGACATATCATAAGAGTCTGTAATAGACCTACATGAATAAAGATATTTTGATTTGAAGAATACGAGCTGAATACATGTTTACAGATAAATTTAATAATACAATTAGAGTGTCTGTTTGTAATATTGAAATAACCACTTTTTACTACAAGCATATGATTATAAATATAATTTTTACAATTTTTGTATGTCTGTCTGTCTGTATGTTTTTTGGCAAGTAGTAGATGTAGTAACTTAGACTACTTTTATTTTAGAAAAATAAAGTTAAATTCCAAGCGGACGAAGTCGCGGCTACAGCTAGTACAAAATATAAATAGAAAATATCCCGGCACATACAAACAATCATACTTACGAATACAAATGTATGTAGCGTGAGAAGAATCGAACTCGTGACCATCAAAAGCAAAGTGGATAGATATAATGTGATGATAATGGCAATTTTCATATAAGAGTACACATATATAACTAGCTTTTGCACGCGTCTTCGCTCGCGTTAATTTATCCCCTTGGGGGTAGAATTAATATCCTTTCTTTGCAGATGCCTACGTCATAACATGTACCTGCGTGCCAAAATTTCAGCCCGATCCGTCCTGTGGTTTGGGCTGTGCGTTGATAGATCACTACGTCAGTCACCTTTGAGTTATATATATTTAAGATAAAAAAAAATCACAGATTACTCTTTACATACTCATTCAATGTCATCTCGTAACATACGCTGTATTCCTTACCAAAGATTCTCCCACAAATATTTCTCGGCTCTCCAACTTGACAGCAGAATAGTGCTTTCAATCTATCGCATATCGGTGTGAATTCGACATTTCGTAACGCGAATAACTTATCCCCTATTAAGGACTTGACGAGATGGGAGTATTTTTATCCCATTGTTTAGGCGCCGTACGAAGTAAGGTTTTTACTGGCATGTGTAATAGCCACATTGTATTGTTATTTATTGTTCTCGATTATGCGTAACTTATTATTTAAAATGCATGTAGTATTATGTGGAAATACCATTGCTTAGTCCTTTTATACTTCAACAATATAAATACTTTTTTTTTAATATAAAAGAATAAGAGCCGAGATTCTTGTCAATTATTCTTAGCTCGAAAGAACTGTAGAACTGATAGAGTCTGAACGGACGGTAGATTTGACATAACATAAGAGTCTGTAATAGACTTACATTTAAAGATATTTTGCTTTGATATGTTTATTTCTTTAATGTATATACCTATAATATCGTGTTCAGACCTCAAAGAAATATATCTCAACTATGAATGACTCATGAAAAAAAAAGAATTAAATTAAAAAGATTAAAATGATTGGGAAACTTCGTCAAGTCTTCTCGTCGTCGCTACCACAAAGCCTTAAGACCAAGGTTTATAACCAGTGCGTCCTACCCGTTGTGACTTACGGTGCCGAAACGTGGACACTGACGATACGACTGGTCCACCAACTCAAAGTCGCTCAACGAGCTATGGAAAGAGCTTGGAGTTTATTTGAGGGATCAAATCCGAAACGAAGTAATTCGCCAGAGAACTACGGTCAGCGACATAGCTCTTCGTATTTGCCAGTTGAAGTGGCAGTGGGCTGGTCATATCTGTCGCAGAACCGATGCTCGCTGGAGTAGGCGTGTTCTAGAGTGGAGACCGCGAATTGGCAAACGTAGTGTAGGACGCCCCGCACCTAGGTGGAGCGACGACTTACGTAGGGTTGCGGGTAGTAACTGGATGAGAAGGGCTGAAGATCGTGCCCAGTGGCGTGCCGTGGGATAGGCTTATGTCCAGCAGTGGACTGCAGTGGGCTGATGATGATGAAATTAAAAAGATATGTGCGACCATAAAAGAACCATTAACTTTCAAATAAAAATGTTTCAAAATCGGTTACACATTAAATCTATACATACCCAACATATATGTATAGAAATCATTCACACTAATACAAACAATCAGACTCATGAATGATGTTTGTAAGTGCGAGGAATCGAACCCACAAGCATTAGAAGTACGGCGGTAGAACGCTACAGAGGGTGTCTTTTCCTGTAAATATAAATACTAATTAACTTGTTTATTTGGGGTCAATACAATATGTATTTATTTTCCTTCATTCATCTCTGTTCGCAGTCATTCCATTATTTACTCCCTTTCTCACCATATCATCTTTCACACAGTCCATCCATCTCTTTTTCGGCCTTCCTCTGCACTTACAACCATCCACATTCATATGTAACGTCTTCCTTAAAATGTTATCTTCATTCCTACGCATTCAAATAGAAATAGAAATAATCTTTATTCAAATAAACTCAATAAAAGCACTTTTGAATAGTCATATTTTTTATTCTACCACTCATTCGGAAAGCAGATTCATCACAAGAAACCTGTGTGTTGCTCTTTTGAATAGATTTTTTATATATAAATAATTATACAATAACAAGTAAGAGCCATGCGATAATCAACTTAAAAACCGCACTCATTCTTAGTGCAATCAGATAATATTGTCAAACGCTATGAATTTTAAGTTTTTCTACAAAAACATTATTATCGTTAATGAACTCTACAATTTTATAATATGCTTTTTTACAAACTTTAATCTTTTTGCTTTACACGACATTTTAATCTTTTTTCTGGCAGATTTATAACAGACTCTGGTAGTTTGTTGTAAAACCTTACGCAATTACCATAAAACGAATTACTAACTTTGGTTAAACGGTATTTAGGTATTATACCACGACAGACGATTACTCTTCAACTTCTCCGACAAATATAAAAACTAAATTACTGTTTTATTTATTGCAGGTTGCAATTTTTACCCAGTTGGCGAATATTTGAAGTTTGTGAGGATACCTGAGAACCTGAAAGTGGGAGAGGAAGTACTGCAGATTGAAGTACATCCAAGGTATTTATATTTTTTAATATAAGGTATTTATAATTTATAAATAATCTACCTGTAAACTTAGGTAGTCCAGAAAATAACTGTTCACGGTGCAATATTAGGAACATTGATTTTAGAAGAAAAAGTGTAAGTGTAGTGAACCAATAGGTACCGTGAGGTCGAAAATCTGCTATTGAGGGTTCCAATTGAAAATACCATTCAATAGGAATGATAAGAATTAAAAAAAAATACTATAGGGAGGTCATTAAAACAAAAAAAATCTTAATAGCGTCATCTACATTTACCTATGGCGCCATATAGTTTGTACGGAGTGAACTAATATTATACATTTGGAACTATCTTAAACATCCATCAGAAAATAACTGTTCATGGAATGCAATATTAGGCACATTGATTTTAGAAGAAAAAGTGTAATCCATCACTTTTAATATAAGTAATCATTTTTTCGACGACCTCGGTGGTCTAGCGGTTTAGCACACCGCTTTACGTCCGATGGTCGCGGGTTCGATCCTCGCACAGTACAAACATTTGTACTCACGAGTATGATTGTGTGTATCTGTCTGAGTGTTGATGAGTATGATTGTATGTATTTACAAAAATAATCTAAGTCTAGTACCCAAGACACAAGCTCTGCTTACCGTGGGACTAGATGGCGCTGTGTTAATTGTCCAGGATTATTTATTAAATAAAATATGATACTTTGCTTAAAAAATTTTAAATTAAAAGTTTTTTGCACAATGGTACATAATAATACTTGTATTGCTCTATACCGGTTTGAGAAAGGAGGCAGTGAATTTATAAGGTACTAAGTTCTTACGTAAAAATGACAATGCATGAATGTAGGCATCACTATATATCCTAACTAGATACTCGCCCCGGCTTCGCACGGGTGTAGATGTATTATATATATAAACCTACCTCTAGATTCACTGTAGGCAGGAGTTGGCCTTCAGCCGCTCCATAAGTCCTTCCGCGGGTTTGGAGTGCCATCTGCACTCGCCCCATAACGTCCGGTGAAGCTGTAAAGGCCAGCTACGGCCAACAGAATTAGAGTAGTCCGAAAAAAAAAAAAAGATTCACTGTATCTATTAAAAAAACCGCTTCAAAATCCGTTGCATAGTTTTAAAGATTTAATCATACATAGGGACGGACAGACAGCGACAGCGACTTTATTTTATACTATGTAATGATGTAAGTAGATAGGAGGTTACAACATTTTATTGTCTCAGTGGTCGAGCGGTTTAGCACACCGCTTTGCAGTCGATGGTCGCGAGTTCGATTCCTCGTGTGGTACAAACATTTGTATTTATTAGTATGACTGATTACTACTACTTATATATAAACGTATCGGTTTGGGTATTTTCTATATATGGTATTTATAGAATAGAATAGAATAGAATAGAAAATCATTTATTCAAATAAACTTACATTGAAGCACTTTTGAATAGTCAACAATTTTTTAAATTTAATACCTGTGAATAATTTTGGGTAAATTTTGTTAAAAGAAATTTAATACCTGTGAATAATTTTAAGCAGATTTTTTTAAAAGATTTTTAATTCCTATGCATAATTTTAGATAGACTTTTTTAAAGAAATTTATAGGTATATATAAAAATAAATAGGTGTTTTTTTATACAAAGAACCAGTAGCTAACTTACTACTACTTTGTATACAATGAGATTATCTATGTAAATATATACTTTACGCAATACAAAGTTACCATACAACAATGGTGTTTCCGATTTAGGCGCAGATATTATTATTATCATTTAAATCAGTTACGAAAGTGACAGTAGGTGGAAATTGACATCGATTTGGAAAATAATTTTTTTTTTTTTTTAATAATGCTTTATTCATGACTATGGATACAAGTCCTTCAGTCGAATACATTTTTATAATGAATTTAATACAAAACATAAGAAATAAACTATTATATAAGCTTAGACAGTACAATTTTAGTAATAATTCATTAATATTAAATTTTTTCCATAGTATGTACAATGTAGTTATATATTGGAATAAAATATTCAAAGTGAGATAGCAAATCTTGAACACGGCGGGGAATACTTTGTGAGTGTTCCTTTGCGATGTCTCTAATGTCACTGACAAGAATCAACCGTTGTATTAAACAAATATACATAATTCCTCAATATCAATTTTCTATATAAACAATTACAAAAAACAATCATTGTAATCCAACGCGGCACATCGAGGCAGCGTACCCAAGATACTGGCAGCGTTGCCTCTTTGAATGGCCATACTTAGCCTTTGGGCAAAATAGCTACCAGCTCTCGGGTCACAAGTAACCTCAATGAGCCGCGCTGAAATATATGTCAACCGTTGTATGTTGAAAACTTGGCATTCAAATATAATATGGTTTATGTCAGCATTTATCTTGAAACAGTGATTGCATCTGATTTGGACAATAAGACATAGAAGTGTTGCTCCAATACGTCTCTCAAATGATAGCAATTTTATTTGAAAGACATTAAATTATATATTTAGCATATCACCACCAGCATATCTAACATGGATTTATGGGGTTCTGTAGGTATTATATTTATGTTTTATATAATCTATACATATAAATAAAATTGGAGTGTCTGTTTGTAGTATTGAAATAACCGTTTTTTTACTAAATGCATATGAATATAAATATGTACATACACCAAAATAACATTTTTTACAAATTTTGTCTGTCTTCTTTTTTTTTCTGAGCTTTATTATTCTTGTTATTGTTCATATTCGTAATAAATAGATATTTGTTTTGCATATAAGGCAAAATAATCCTGACTAATATTATAAATGTGAAAGTAGGGATGCCTATTACGCTTTCACGCAAAAACTATTAAACCGATTATCATGAAATTTTCTACACATATTCTTGGAGGTATTAGAATCAACACAGGATACTTTTTATTAAAAAAAAATATATATATATATATATAATATAAAAACAATAAAATAAAATATCAACACTTTGCTACTTCTGCGCCATGTAGCAGCATGTAATGAAGTTATTTAATAGATTCAATGCGAGCATTGCCGCGGGTAAACGCTAGTAATAATATATATATATTTATATATATATCAAACAATTAAACTTGATTGAATACCAAATAAATAATTCATTATTTTCTAATAATAGCATCACAAGGACGGACATTCTATTGCAATATAAAACCAAACATAATATTAATGATGATCTGAATTTTATTGGTATTTGTCTACAGTTGTTTGTATATGTTGAGAAGCTTTTTTGATATTAATATATTTAAAGTTTCCTTGTCTATAATCAAAACTATAAAAACAAAATTATATATTATGTCACTTCACTCTCTACCATCTCACCATTAGCTTTACTACATATTTCTACAACAGTATATATATCTTGTCATAGTTTAACATATACAATCATATTCACATTATATGTTGGACAATGCATAATGCGATTTCATTCCGCTTTGAGCAATGTAAGGTGCAAAGATTTTACAACAAACAAATATGGTTCTACAGTAATGCAATCTTACTAATCCTATCTAAATATAATATATATAACTAAAAGGTGACTGACGTAGTGATCTATCAACGCACAGCCCAAACCACTGGACGGATCGGGCTGAAATTTGGCATGCAGGTAGATGTTATGATGTAGGCATCCGCTAAGAAAGGATTTTGATTAATTCTACACCCAAGGGGATAACATAGGGGATGAAAGTTTGTATGAAACTTTATCAATTTTAAACCGATCGTGCTGAGACTTTGCATGCATAAATCTACTATGACGTAGGCATCCCCTAAGAAAGGATTTTGATAAATTCCACCCCTAAGGGGATAAATAAACGCGAGCGAAGCCGCGGGCAAAAGCTAGTTAATATTATAAACGCGAAAGTTTGTGAAAACGGATGGATGTTTGTTGCTCTTTCACGCAAAAACTACGGTTTTTTTAGTAGATAGAGTGATTCAAGATGAAGGTTTATATGTATAATACATGTACACCCGTGCGAAGCCGGGGCGAGTAGCTAGTAGGCTTTATATAAAAGGATATTAAGATATTTGGTCGAAATATAATGATAAATGTGAAGTCAGTGTCATGCAGACGACGTTGCGATGGTCAGCTAGTCTACATAAAATTGTGCTACTATTGACGATTAGCATACCGCTTTACTTCCGATGGTCGCGGGTTCGATTCCTCACACGGTGCATTTACATTTATTAGTATGATTGTTTGTAACAGTTATTTAACTTATAAACAATCATCATCATCGCAGCCCGGAAGACGTCCACTGCTGGACATAGGCCTCCCCCAAAGATCTCCACGACGATCGGTCCTGCGCTGCTCGCGTCTATCAATATATATACCTCAGTGGTCTAGCGGCCTAGCACACCGCTTTACGTCCTTAGGTCGCGGGTTCGATTCCTCACACGGCACAAACTTTTGTATTCATGAGTATGATTGTTTGTATCGGTCTGGGTATTTTCTATATATATATTATTTACGAAAAAAAAATTATCTATGTATTTGTATCAGTTATCTAGTACACATAACACAAGCTTTAGCTAGCTCAACTTGGGTCTAGATGGCGCTGTGTGAATTGTCCTGAGATTGTTATTATTATATTATGTATATATGAATAAATATATATGGATAATACTAAACTATAATATAACGGATATAATTATGGCAGTTAGTCAGCTGGTAATTGTAACTGAATAATACAAAACTACCGTTAATTCTATTAACCCGATTTAAGAGCATAAATAGCATATTATAGTGACATAACTCGAGTAGTTAACTCAGAATACAAGTTAATACTGTTATATAATTACACTCACAATTAAGACTAGACCACGAGGCAAAAGATTTTCACAGACACCGGAACTACTAATGTATCCGTTTTACTTATTTTATACATATAATAATAATCTAACTGTATATCTAAATATATATAACTCAAAGGTGACTGACAAAGTGATCTATCAACGCACAGCCCAAACCACTGGACGGGTCGGGCTGAAATTTGGCATGCAGGTAGATGTTATGACGTAGGCATCTGCTACGAAACGATTTTCTTTAATTCTACCCCCAAGGGGATAAAATTTTGTATTAAACTTTGTCAATTTTAAACCGATCGGGCTGATACTTTGCATGTATAAATCTACTATCTTTGCTTTCATAAATATACTAGCACCCCTATGAAAGGATTTTGATAAATTCCACCCCTAAGGGGATAAATTAACGCGAGCGAAGCCGCGGGCAAAAGTTAGTTAATGATATATGCGCAAAACTATCTTATGGTTATATAGTATAAAACAAAGTCGCTGTCGCTGTCTGTCCGTCCCTATATATGCAATATTACTAATATTATTAACGCGAAAGTTTGTGGGTATGTATGGATGTTTGCTATTCTATCACGCAAAAACTACTAAACGTATTTTGATGAAACTTTACAGTAATATAGCTTACACATAATAATATATTATTACATAGTATATGTAAAACAAATTCTCTCTCTCTCTGTCCGTCCCTATGTATGCTTAAATCATTAAAACCACTCAACGGATTTTGAAGCGGTTTTATTAAATAGATAGAGTGATTCAAGAGGAAGGTTTATATGTATAATAGATGTACACCCGGCGAAGTATTTTCTATGTATATTATGTATGTATTTACAAAAAAAAAATCTAAGTATTTATATCAGTTATCTAGTTCCAATAACACAAGATCTGCTAAGTTTAGGACTAGATGATGCTGAGTTATCCAAAGATTCTTGCGGGTCGGCAACTCGCACGTGACACCTCTGGTGTCTCAGGCGTCCATAGGCTATGGTAACCATTTACCATCAGATGGGCCGTATGCTTGTTTACCACAATAGTAGTATAAAAAATTGTTTAAAGATAGTATATTATTATCACAATATTATTATATTTCTCGCTCGTTATTCTTGTGATGATTAAAAAAAATATAACTATGACTATTCAAAAGTGCTTCAAATAAGTTTATTTGATAAAAATATTTTCTATTCTGTTCTATTCTATTCTATAATATGGAGTATATTATAGATCCATAGTCCATACTTTGTTCTCTATTTGTGCTACGTATATGTATGTTTTAATACTCAATCTATACATATAAATAAAATTGGAGTGTCTGTTTGTAATATCACAGATAACATAATATTACTGAAATAACCGTTTTTAATACATATAATACGGTACATACACCAAAATAATATTTTTTACAATTTTTGTCTGTCTGTCTGTTTGTTCCGGCTAATCTCTGAAATGGCTGTACCGATTTTGACAGGACTTTTGTTGGCAGGTAGCTGTTGTAATAAGGAGTGACTTAGGCTACTTTTATTTTAGAAAATAAAGTTAAATTTCACGCGAACGAAGTCGCGAGTACAGGTAATAATAAATGTATTTGAGTTAAAGTAGAATTGTAAAGTATAAATCATGAAGTTACAGTACCGTAACGGGCGCAGTGTGTGAGTGTATGTTACATGATAACATAATTGAGTATAGTAATAAGTACCTATAGTAAATCACAGTTTAATTTGTACATTATGATTGGTAATTTAATGGCTCACAGGTTGCGAGTTAATTAATTTAACACTAGCAAATTAGATAATATTTACGTATTTTAAAGGAATTATATAAGATAGAGGAAAAAAATTATTCAGTGCTTTTACAGTAGAAACAAAATAAATAAATAAAAATGAATAACCCTGGTTATTTAACACAGCACCATCTAGTCTCACGGTAAGCAGAGTTTGTGTTATGGGTACTAGACAACTGATATAATAATATATAGTAATATACATAGATAACACCCAGACCAATACAAACAATCATATTCATGAATACAAATGTTTACAGCGTGCGAGAAATCGAACCCGCGACCATCGGAAGTAAAGCTGTGTGCTAAACCGCTACACCATCGGGGCCTTAAAAAGGTTTATCTGTATCACAGATAAGATAATATTAAGTATTTGTAGTTTTATGCTACGTTGGTTTTTATACGTCTTTTGCGGCACATAAAGTCACGACCATTTCTTTTACTTGTATAATTATTTTGTCTGTAGCTTTAATTTGTGAAAAATATATCAATCAAAAAGAATATATCAATCTATATGTCCATATATATATATATATATATATATCTATCTATCTATCTATCTTATTATTTTAGTAATGGACATATGTAATAAAAAATCACTTCCATCTGATTACGAAACAATCATTAAAAAGTAAATACAATCCCACAATACACTCATTAATTATACTTCAATGCAATAATATATGAAGAAGCAAGCTAAATATATAATGATTGAAATTATAAATGATCTACTTCTGATAATAATTATGTTATTGATCATCTCACGAACCTGTTTGTACGACCCTGATATTTACGTATCGTTACGTAAAAGTTTCATACCTGCAGTCAATGAACATGTTGGGAACATTAATTGAAGTGTCGTAAACTGGTTCGGTGGGTAATTAATTATGTTTTATAAATGACCTCGAACTGTTAAGATGATGGTCTAATTTGTGGTAAACTAGCTGTGCCATCGGTTTCATCTGTGTGGAATTTATAGCCTATGTCTTAATCTGATATGTAAGCTGTGTTATTGTAGTTTTGTGAAAATTATTTGGGTAGTTTTTGCGTGAAAGAGTAAGAAATATACATCCATACTTACAAAATTTCACGTTTATAATTTTAATAAGATATTATTGTATATTAAATATTGACCGATTTTGACGGGGCTTATATTGGCAGGTAGCTGGAGTAACTTAGGCTACATTTATTTTAGAAATATAAAACTTTATAATTATTAATTTAACTAAATTCCACGCGGACGAAGTCGCGGGAACAGCTAGGCTTATATACTTTGTATAAAATAACATAGTAGTGCATAGCGCCATCTGTCGATTATATAAAACTATACATTGACAACGGTTTTATGAAAGCAGACAGTGTTTTCTGACTGCTAATGTTGTTTGAAACTTGTAATAGGTGTCGATAGAGGGCACTGTAAGTTTAACTTGAAAATATTTCACATATTCCTTACTCTTTACTATCCGTACTAATTATTATAAATGCGAAAGTAACTCTGTCTGTCTGTCTGTCTCGCCAAAACTACTGAACCGATTTTAATAAAATTTGGTACACAGATTGTCTAGACTCTGAGAAAGAGGGAATGGGCGTAGGTTACTTTATAATGGCATAGAAAGATTGTGAGGGGTTGAAATGGACATGAAACATTTGTATGAAAGCATCGTCGTTTTTATTGTTAGAAATTTGAAACTTATTTTTTAGGCTGTTAATTAAATATAAATAAATATTACATTCAAAGTTTGTGAAAATTTTAATCCCTAAAGAGGTAGAATAAATAGGGGATGAAAGTTTGTATTGAATATCAAAATTTTAACCCCGAACGGGGTAAAATAAAATACTCGATGGAAGTTTGTATGGAAAATTGTCATTTATGAAACTAGGACGATAAAACTTTTTTCTTTTGCCTTTTTTGGGTTGATTATTGAATATTCATTATTCGGACAAGGTTGCGGGGCACAGCTAGTTTCTTATATTAGAAAGCCATATTTTCTGAGATTCACCAGTCAATTCTTCTCTTTTCATTACATAGTATAAAACAAAGTCGCTGTCGCTGTCTGTCCCTATGTATGCTTAAATCTTTAATACTACGAAGCGGTTTTTTTAAATAGATAGACTGATTCAAGAGGAAGGTTTATATGTATAAATTTAAGTATTTTACTATAAAAAATACTACATGTATTGTTGCCATCATGTTTGTGAGGAGAAATAAATAAATCATATTATTATTATTATTATTATATATTATTATTATTATATATATATATATTATGTATAACACGTGTACACCCGTGCGAAGCCGGGGTGGGTAACTAATTATATATAAGATGATTTTATCTTTTCCAGAAAGAACCTCAGTCTCCAACCGGTGGATAAAGAAGAAGATGCCCAATACTTTACGTATCGAGACGTGAATCGAACTCACGTCTCCGTGGTGTTAGCACAAAGCCTCAACTCCATGGTCGACAGTGACACGCCGCAAAATGTTATGAAGTTCAGACTTGGTTGCGACTTCGATTCTGGTGATGATCTTGTAAGTTACACTGATTTTGAAACTGGTGATGGGATACCTCTATAACTCAAATTCATCTAAAAGAATAACAACTTGAAAGAGCAACTCTTTTAAATAACTTTATTCTTACTTTACAATTTAAGTTTAAGTGTGTGAATACAAACTACCGATTAGCACTAATTCAATTAAATAATCAAATAGAAAAAATATTGAATACACAACAACTGGTTAAACAATTAATAAGAGGAAATCAGTCATAGTGATTAGAGAAGACCAGTCCCTACAAGCAGCATCCGTTCACGAGTATGACGGATGAGCCAGCCATCACTGCGCTCGACCATATTTTAGATTAATTACTTGTAGGTTTCTTAAATCAAACTGATAAGTTACTTTAACTTTTTAAGTAGTCTGAAAATTTGCGTGGAAATCTTAGAGTCGTAATAAAACAATTAAACTCATAAAAATATGCATTAACTGAAATAAAACTGCTGCGAAATAATGCACTGTATATAACAACCGTTTTCATGCAACACTCAATAAAAGAACGGGAAGACGGTTTTACGTTGTTTTTATAACCCGTATCGTAAAAACGTGAAGACATTTTTAAAATGGGAGTCGACGAACTCCGCGGCCGAAGATTTCTGTGTTATTTCAAAAGGAAATTTATGAAATTGACAGTTAGTTACTCGAGGTTCAAATGGAAGGAATTGGTTTCCCGCCTTCTCGTCTGGTTCCTATTTTGTTTGAGCAGATAATTAATGGTTATCCATCAGATTTTATTAAGTTCATTGTCTGGACGGGTATTTTGGATGTTTGTATACTTTACCACCGATTCAGTTTCGCCCGAGTGTAAATTGGTTTTTATCGTTCACTGGCGACAAATTATTTTTCATATTAATTCGCTGTTATACGTTTAGTAAGTAGTTATTTTTAGTAACGACTATTTTTGGAATTTTTGGCAAGGAATACTAGAAACATAAAGTTCAAAAACAATTATACAGTCATCAATATTCCCCAGTTGTTATTTACAATATCAAAATTTATACAAATAAATAACATTGAAGTGTCTTCAAGACTTTCTGTGTGTGACACCGTCACAAACTTGTGGGCCAATTTTGATGACACTTTCACTCACAATTAGCTAATTTTATAAGGAGTACCTTAGGCTACTTTTTACTCTAGAAATATAATATATTTAAAAAAAAAACAGTTCAATTCCATTAGTTAACCTCTAGTCTATGAATAATCCAGGATTTAGATAGCGTGGTGTGACGTTCAACTTTTCGCACCGTTTGCAGCTTAATGGCCGCATGACGCCAGCAGTGTGCGCTAGAGACAACATAATGCTTCCTTCTCTTTCCCACATATATACTGTTTATATTAAATTATTGATAATATTTAATTGCAGATCTCGGCTTACTTATCAGTGACAGTGTACATAGAAGACGTCAACGATAATTCACCAAAGTTCATAGATTTGCCATATAAAGTTACAGTGGACGAATTAACACCGGCAGGTTAGTAAAACAGTTTATTTTTTATAATAATAAAATACAAAATTCTAGAGTCTTTTTAGAATAAAATAGTACAGAATTCTTGAGTTTCACGATTACTGGACGGGATGGACTAAACTTATTCAAACTATTACAGCAGCCCAACGGATGGAAAATTTCAATTGCCAATCATAACGTAGACTATCTACTCATACAGCTATAACTATGAGAAAACAGAATATAAATAGAAATAATCATTAATCAAAGAAACTTAATATAAGCACTTTTTAATAGTCATATTTTTATTTTATTATTCATTCAAAAAGCAGATTTATCACATGTAGAATGAAGAACAAGTAATAGAAATAGAAATAGAAATATTCTTTATTCACATAAACTCAGTACAAGCACTTTTGAATATTTTTTATTCTTATATCTTCTTTATCTTATTCATATTTTGATTCTACCACTCATTCGGAATACAGATTCATCACAAGAAGAATGAGCAAGAAACTTGTATGTTGCTTTTTTTATATAAATAATTACAGTATAACAAGTAAAAGGCATGCGATAATCAACATAGAAATCGCTACGCACTCAAGTGTTGCTCTTTTACATAATAGCTGTTCAGAATTATATTTTCGAGAATTTTGTGTTAATACAAACTGACAAATAGCAAAGTTGATATAAATAAATAAATAGTTACTTGAGTTATAAAGTAAATCAGTCATAGTTATGAGAGCAATCTCTACAACCTAGCGCCCGTTCACAAGTATAACGGGTGAGCCAGCCATCACTGCTCTCAAACATATTTTAGATTACACAATACACAGAATAAATATGTAAATTTTAATGATTCCACTAAAACATTTGATACTTAATTGTAACATTAGAATGTCAATAACTGTTTGGTAGATCGTGATAAACCAGAATGTAGAAAATTCGTATACGCACTCTTGCGGTCGGTCGGTAATTTAGTGATACAAATATTTATTTAGAGTAACATATACTAAAAATATATGATACCCTTGATGTGTATTTTACCAAAAATAACATAAATAGAGCACGAAAATCACAACCCACGTGACAGGCTATAAACACCATACAAGCTATAAACATTTATAATGTTACATCCAGATTGCATCTTTTGTTAAAGTACGAAACGCCTAGATTTGATAAAAATATTTTGATAATATAATATAATATTTTGCAATAAGTTTTGTAGCTATATATATATTTTGACAATTACAAGAAAATATGTAATAGACTCCTAGAATGGAAAATATAAAGTATAGTCTAATGGATACGACTTGGACCATAGGTCGTGAAATTTATGGAGGTAAAAAAATATTTTTATTATTCAAATCTGTTTATCTATAGTTCTCAGGAACGGTTAATAAGCATGAAATTTGCAAAGCATTAAACAAACTTCCCAATTTTGTTTTGGTACTTACTTTTATTTTAAAAAATACAAAAAAAAACATTAAAATAAAATGAGCAATAGCTCATTCTTCTTGCTTTTCGAATGAGTGATAGAATAAAAATATGTATTACAATTCAAAAGACTATACTTATCTCAGGAACGGAATAATATGTAGGAGATTTTCAAAGCATCAAGCAAGCTTCCCAATTTTTAATGGATACTTCCGTATTTTTTTTACATGCATGCAAGTTTATTGCTCATTCTTCTTGTTGTAAGTATGCGTTCCGTACGAGCGGTAGAATAAAAAAAAATACGTCTATTCAACAGTGCAAATATTAAGTTTATTTGAATAAAGATTATTTCTATTTCTATTCACGTGTAGCACTTTATGAATCACTTATGTAAAGTAATGTAAGTAATGTTTTCCAAAGAATCTGGGAATTTCATAATAAATCGATATACAATATTTGACTGCGACATGGATACGATTACGCATGTTGTGGGTATAATGTGGAATTTCGAGAATATTCTCATAGGCATACATTCTATCTTTAGATAATAGTGATGTGACGTTTGTTTTTTTTTTCTATATTTACATTGTCATTTAGAGAATTTCGCAATCTCACTTAAGGGATTTGAAATGTCTCTATTCAAATTTTATTTTTATAACGACTTTTATATATAACTAGCTACTTGCTCCGGCTTCGCCCTGGTGTACATGTATTATACATATACACCTTCCTCTTGAATCACTCTATCTATTAAAAAAACCGCTTCAAAATCCGTTGCGTAGTTTTAAAGATTTAAGCATATATAGGGACGGACAGACAGCGACAGCGACTTTGTTTTATGCTTGTCTATGTAATGATTTATGCTTGTATACAATTCACCTAAAATGTTATTTAGTGTCTGTTTGGAATATACAAACAAACTTTGAAATCGGATTTGTATTTGAACCCCGAATTATTGATTCAGATTATTAAATATATGTTTACAAACATTAGGAGCAAAAACAAGAATTCGTAAGTAATAGCAAACGAAACTGCAGTTAAAGAACGGATAGACATTTCGATTCGATACGTCTGGGACGACTACCAATTCTTTTAAATTAGGCCGCTGATATACAGTCGGTTGACCTTTAGGTTGCTCCGATGCTTCAAATACTGACTACTCCATCTCCTCTCCAAAGAGGGCAGTGTGATTAACCTGACAACTAACCGACTATATATCAGCATCCTTAAACGGTAGTTGAAACTGCGACCCACACCATCTAATATATAATTTCTCTTCTAATATATAATAGTAATGTTCAAAAATGTTCCTATCTAAATATATATAACTCAAAGGTGACTGACTGACTGACATAGTGATCTATCAACGCACAGCCCAAACCACTAGACAGATCGGGCTGAAATTTGGCATGCAGGTAGAGGTTATGACGTAGGTATGTGCTAAGAAAGGATTTTGATTAATTCTACCCCCAAGGGTATAAAATAGGGGATGAAAGATTGTAGGAAACTTTGTCAATTTTAAACCGATCGTGCTGAAACTTTGCATGCATAAAGCAACTATGACCTAGGCATTCCCTAAGGATTTTGATAAATTCCACCCCTAAGAGGATAAGATAGGGGATGAAAGTTTGTATGAAACTTATTAGATTTTCATCTGATTGAACTGAAATTACAGATTAAAGGTACTATGATGAAGACGTTCGCTCAAATAGGATTTTGATAAATTCAACCCTCATGGAGATAAAATAAGGGATGATGCAGGATGCAAATGTATTAGTTTGAACCTATCAGTGAATGGAACGAATAAATTAAGACGAACAAAATAATTTTTAGTTCTTTAGGCTACTTTTATTTTAGAAAAATAAAGTTAAATTCCATGCATTCGAAGGGAACAACTAGCTTAATAAATAATTTCATCCCTATATTAAGATGTAGCGTTTAGGCAACAGATGAAGGTAATTCAACATAATGAAATTTCTTCTTTGATTGATTGTAGTACGTACTTGAGTTTGTAAATTTAAAAGATTAATAAGCCAGTTTGTAGCACCCAAATTTCAGATATGTATAAGTTATATTATTTTCGCTGTAAGTAGAACTTATGTATATTACAAGTTCTAGGTTTATAGAATACTAGCTGAGCCCGTGTCTTCATTCGCAAGTAATAGAGGACGAATGAGGAATTTCCATTTCATCCCCTATTTTATTTTACCACCTAAAGGGTAAAATTTTTACAAACTTTCAATATACAAACTATCAATATGACACTCAAGTCATATTGATACCTCCATAGAACATTTCATCTCCCCTTCCAACCCCTTACAACTCAATCTTCGCATTAAAAAGCCTATATCCTTTCTCAGGGTCTAGACTATATGTATACCACATTTTATTTAAATCGGTGCAGTAGTTTTAGCGTTAAAGCGGGACAGACAGACAGATTTACTTTCGTATTTACAATATTAGTAAGGAGTGAGGATATATACGCCGAAGACAAACCTAAAATCAGTGATATTATTTATGAAAATGAACCATTTTCCCTAAAGATATATACGCCGAAGGCAAGCCTAAAACCAGTGATAGTATTTCTGAAAATGAACCATTTTCCCAAAGAAGAAATAGTAATATTCTTTATCCAAATAGACTTTATATAAGCTCTTTTGTATAGACATATATTCTTGAATCGGATAGCAAAATAGTTATAATATACTTGGACTATTAACAGCGTCATCTAGCCTAAGTAGAGCTTGTGTTATGTGAACCATAACTGAAACTAACTTACTTCGTTCTTCATGAAGTCTATGTTTGTCGACATATTTTTTTAATATTATATAACGATTAATAATTGATATGTATATATTATATTTTATATTTCTTTAGTCTAGTGTCATTATCATTAGATTGAGCTATATATGTATCTATAATGTACATAATAAACTGACTGCGAAGGAAGGAGATCAAGACTAGCCAAACAATGGAAAACGGCACCGATATAGTCGTAAAATATTGTAATGACTTTTGTCACATGTAAAACAATATAGTGTTTATAAAAAACTAGCGAAAATTACACTTCCCCCATACATTGTCACGATCCCCCCCCCTTCCCCCCTCCCCCGACACTCCTTCTGGAAGAACAACTATGTCAATCAGGCACCGTAATGCAGCTTCATCTTGTATATAAAATTCTCGTGTCACAGTTTTCGTTCCCATACTCCTACGAAACGGCTTGACCGATTCTCATGAAATTTTGTGAGCGTATTGAGTAGGTCTGAGAATCGGCCAACATCTATTTTAAATCTCCCTAAATTTTAGGGGTAGTCCACCCCTAATTTTTTTATTTATTATAAGGCAAAACAACTATTGAGTGTAGTACTAATAGAAATGTAGAGAATAAAAAAGGTTTATAAAATAGTTTCCAACAACAACCACCAGTCTAGCATTTTGATAGACAATTATGTCCTCATGGAGTAAGGTTTTCTTCGTCAGGAGGGATCTCCTCAGTATGCCCCTTGGGGGCCACATCAGCTACTCGCACAAGTCCATCATTGCCCGAGTAGACAATCTCACTGACATATTCAATATTCACAGGTCTAACAATATTCAAAGGAATCCGTGCATTTGATCGAGACAAGCCCAATACGCCAAACTCGGATATCCAGTACAGCATCACAGGTGGCAACGGTGATGACCACTTCGCACTTGAAAGTTCACACAAACCTGCTCTCATATTGAAGAGACAACTTGACTACGATACGGGAGATAGGGAGTTCAAAATTGTAGTTACAGCTTCGGTAAGTATCATACAAACTAGCGAGGACTAGACACCAACTATTCCTTCACACGTGTATACAATGTTAGTTTTCGAAAAGATGATAATGGAGTGCTTATTCCAGCGTTGACGGTTAACTCTGATGGAACACCAATGGAGGATGATAAGATGAGGATGAGGTCAGGTCAGTTTCACATGACAAATTCACCAGGAATTTATCGTGATGATATCCAGGGAGAACCTCGTGGCATTTTGTCAGCAATGAGGTCAACAATCCACATTACTAACAATACTCTTTCACTACATGGGGAACTATAGTATAGTGTGATCATGTGCATTTATTAAATATTTGAACCTTCCGGAAAAAGTTTTAACTGTAGCATTAAATGTAGGATATTTAGAATATTTGGAAGGTATAAACGGAGAAAAAAATAGAGACTTTTTCTTAAATTATTAAAGATAAAATAGATATGATTACCAATATCAACAAATCTCTTCAATTATGGTAGTCTGTTCATCAACACTTAGACTTGAAAATTTTGACCTTGGTAATTTAGCTGTTCAGCGCACCACTTTACTTCCAGGGTGCAGATTCAATTTCTTGCACGAATATGATAAACAGTAATTTAGTGATTTTGCTCTGAGAGACAAACCAATGGTTTTCAAATGCTACCTATATACTAGAGGCAGAGGCGGACGTAACAAGATCGTCGCGTCATCATCATCGCAGCCCGGAAAACGTCCACTGCTGGACATAGGCCTCCCCCAAAGATCTCCACGACGATCGGACCTGCGCTGCTCGCATGCGAGGACCATCGCGTACTAAACTTAAATTTTAAATGTCTTATTAAACTAATTCCAGGATCGTGGATCTCCACCTCGTAGCAGCAACACAACAGTCGTGATCTACGTATTGGATAATGATGATCTGCCGCCAAAGTTCTCACGCGACGTCTACAGAACGCAGATACCCGAATTTTATCCACTGCTGGTAAATATTACTAACTTCTTCACCATTTTTATAATACTGTGTGTACTAGTGTAGTATAGTAGATAATCACGCAATCTCTAATAGCTTTTCTCACGAGACTATAGCATGGGGTTCTTCAAGAAGGGTATATTAAGGTTTCTTAAGGGTCGGCAACGCGCACGTGACACCCCTGGTGTTTCAGGCGTCCATAGACTACGGTAACCATTTACCATCAGATGGGCCGTACGCCTGTTTGCCACCATAGTAGTTAAAAAAAAAAGCTTATATCCCAGATTTTTCGCCCTAAGCCCGTCTCTTAATTACTTTGATTTTTTTCTAAAATAACTATTATAATTAAACTCGATGAAATTTTGTGCAAAGGCAAGTTAGATTTTCTTTAAGCAAATTTTATTTTACATTTAGAAGTAACTGAAAATTTTGATTCTCATCAAAAAAAGGACCTATCTTTAGCTCATTCGCATGTACAATTTGAGATAGATGCTTTTAAAAATGTGAAATAGAAATAAAATTTTGATAATATTAAAAAAATACCCCTATATTTACTGTAATAATAGAGTAAACCGAGTAGAATATAACGTAAATATTTACGGCAAGATTTCGATTAAAAGTATTGCTATCGCGCTTGAGTGATTGGAGAAGCAAGGTTACTGAATAGAGATAGAACGAATACTGAAGAATACCTAAATGGTAATTTTATAGCGTGGATACAATCCCTTCGTTCTTATAATTAGTAACACATCAGGGTAAACTGAAAGCTACATTGCATCATATATGGTTTACCATACTTCCTCGGTTGTCTATCAGTTTAGCAAAGCGGTTTACCTCTGATGGTCGAACTAAAAGTTCGACTCCTTGTACGGTACAAACATTTTGTATTTGTTTGTATAATTATTTGTATAGGGTGTTTTCCATGTATAGTATATTAAAAAATCATTTATTCATGTAGGACATTTTAGTCGCTTATGAACGTAAAATTTTTTATATTATAGTTTTTCCCTACCTAAAGAATATATGTTTATAGAATTTTAACACAATGCTTGAAATATAATATAAGTAACATTATATGATATTATGTATTTTGATATAGGGTAAACGTATACATCAGGCATTAACATTTCAAGAAAATATAAAGGCATTTGACCAAGATGAAGGTATCGATGCAGCTCTGCGGTACGAACTGGTTGCAGGCAATGAGCGAAAACTATTCCTTTTAGACTCTCTCAATGGTTCCTTGTATCTCGAGAAAGAAATAGACCTTGATGCTGAAACAGGTCTTCCAGGTATTCTTAAAGATATTACATTTATTCCTATTTGTAAATGTAATAGAACTTTTATTATTGTAAGGTACAAACTATTTTAGTGTGTTTGGTATTATATCTACAAAATGAAGGTAGATATCGAAACAGTTTATATAAAAACAAGTTGAACCGACAAACTTCTTTTGCCTTTTGAAAAATAAAGGTTGATAATAGAGGGGTGAAAATTTAGGTTGTAATTTTTACTTTCGAAAAATAAAATTTATGTCCAAAAAATTAAAAATATTTAAGGTGGGCCACCCTTGTCAATTAGGGATATAAAAAATACATAACAACCTTAGTAATACATTTAGGTTATATGTATTTTATTTTTATTTGAATGAAATATAAAATTAAGTCGTTAAAAATAAAACAATATTTGGAATGGGCCACCCTTGTCAATTAGGGCTATAAATATAGATAACAACCTGCTCTCAGACCTATCAAGTGTACATATAAAATTTTCATCAAAATTAGGTTTGTAGTTGTAGTAGACATCGCGAATTTTTATATATTTAATAAATTAATTACAAATATTTAATTAAATATTTTAATTCCTAATGAATATGATGAACTTAGGCTTTTGAATGTAAATAGATCGTTCAATACTAATAACTTTATTTCAGGTAACACGTTTGTGTTACAAGTACAGGCATCGCAGCTCGATAATCCTCTAAAAACAGCACAAGCCAGAATAGAAGTTGAAATATTGGATCTAAATGACAACTTACCTGAATTCGAAGTAGATTTTTATAACATAAGCATCGTAGAAAATTTACCCAACGGTAAGTACATATAATATGCAAACAATATCATTATATTATATTAATACGTGAAGCATAAACTTAGTACCCCTTTTTACAAAATTTGCGAGGACAGTAGAGTATCAAATTTCGTACATTTATAGGTTATATAGCGTAGGTGTGCATAATGCTATTATTTTTTTAAATTATCTATAATAAATACATTAAATCAATAAAAAACAGCAAACACAATATCATGGTATTTGACACATACGTATGAATCCTCTTTTTTATTTATTATTGCTGATTCAAAGATCTTATTGTATTTTTTATTAAGATCTAATTTCGACCACTGGCCTACCACAGATCGATTATTATTTTGCTTCTTGTATGAATTGTTTTTTTTTCTTATATACTCTATTTCTATATTCTTTGAGGTAAGCAATAAATAATTTTCATTTATTCTTACTTGACTAATAGTGCCGGTGATTATACTATCAGACGGCAACAAGAAAGAAAGAAAACTATAGTATATCTATTATTTATCTCTTTTTCTGTGAAAATTTAATTGTAATTCCTCCAGTCATTTTTACGTGAAATGCAATGGCTACGTTGTTACCGCCTCGTCATTCTCATCATCATCAACTCATTGCAGTCCACTACTGCTTGGTCTTTCCCAAGGCTCGCCACTAGGTACGATCGTCAGCCCTTCTCGTCCAATTTTTACCCACAACCCTACGTATGTTATCGCTCCACCTAGCTTCGGGGATTTTATTCTATTATATGACAAGCCGATGATTTTATAAATTTATTTTTCAGGTTTCAGTGTATTACAAGTGATGGCAACAGATATAGATCAAGGTGATAATGGAGAGTTTACGTATCAACTCAGCGATCGTAAAGGCGCCTTTTCAATCGATCCTAGGAGTGGATGGCTCACTGTTAAAAATCAGGTATGATTTTCAATTGTGTAAAACATATTTATGTTACCTTGTTTGGTACTGGGCTATTGTTAAACTGTCATGTTATTTAATAATCTTTGAAACAAAAGTACTGTTTGGATAGCCTTTTAAAAGCAAATTGTTTAATACTTTTAAAATAAGGATATTCATATAATATAAAAAATATAAGAGATAATATGTTTGCATTTCAGACCGTTTTGGACAGAGAACGTCACTCATCTTTGAGGATGAAAGTATATGCTAAAGAAAAAAATCCCAGTGTTGTTGGAGCGTTTTATGATAAACAACGACAATCAAAATGGCGTAGAAATTCCGTTACATCTAGACCAGGCTACAGAGACAGAGACAGAACAACTTACGTTTTTCCTGATAAATTAGGAAATAAAAATGAAAATATTGAATTTTTCGAAGAAGCTCATCAACTTATGTCTTTTGTAACTGTAGAAGTAACTCTTTTAGATGCTAATGATAATAATCCTGTATTTGTTCCGAGTAACCTTTATGAATTTAATATTAAGTCAAATTCTAAAATTGGTACGTTTATCGGAAAAATTAAGGCTGTTGATCCAGACTTAGGCAGAAATGGAATGGTTTATTACGACTTACAAAGAACTAGTAATTTAACTATTACATCACCATTTCTGATTGATGCCAAGACTGGTGCCATTAGTGTAGCTGAAACTCCGATCATAGAAGGAAGGCATGCTCTTTTTATTGAAGCTTCAGATCAACCTGCTAATCCTAGCGAGAGAAGATATTCTTTAGCTGTAGTTACCATTGACGTTACTAGACCTGGTAAAGGTTGGTAAATATAAAATTGTGAAATCAGATTGTTTATTTAATAGATAATTGTATATATTAAAGTAACACTAATTATTTATTAGGTAATAAATCAGAAAGACCGGACTTTCTTGGATCTCCGTACGAATTTTGGGTAGGATCTAATGTTGGCATTGGAACAAGCGTTGGACAGATTCGAATCAATGATGCGATGGAAAAAAGTGAAGTCTCTTATGATTTGCTACATAGTTATGAAGAAGGAGGTTGGTATGCCAATGTATAAAAAATTGAGTCTTTCATTGCAAATCCAAAGATTTTACACATTATATTTATATTTACAGTACCATTTGCTGTCGAAGAAAAATCTGGGGTTATAACAGTTATAGAAGAACTAACAAAATTTAATCGTCCAATTTATGATTTTGAGGCGGTAGCAATGCAGGACAATTCTAATATAACAATATCGACGAATACTACAATTCATGTCGTTGATGTTAATGACGAGAGAGGTGTTTTATTGAAGTAATACTTTTGTACATATCTTCTGTATTTTTATGCCTTAGGATTTTCAATAATATAATTATTCATTTTAGGGGTTCTAAAACTCCGCTCGTGTTTCATGTTAAGGAAAACGTAGCAGGAGCAATGATTGGCCAAATTTTTCCAGTCAATATAAGTACATTATCTACGAATAATACAGGAAATATTCGGTTCATAATTGCCAATCAGCAAGATGTTTCAGAGGACATAGCTATTGGTAAAGTATTGAAATATTTTATTTTATTAATTACATAATGAAATATTGTTTTTAAATTAACTTTGTAACATTTTATTTTATAGGAGAAGACGGATCAATTTATGCCCAAAAGCCCTTAGATCGAGAGAAGCGAGATATATACAGTTTGACCATTATTGCAGAATTTAATAAAGGAATGATTTCTGGTGCAGGAATATATCAAGTAACCATTCACGTTGATGATGAAAACGATAACCCACCAATATTTGAAATACAGGCATATGAAGGATATATTCCTGAAAATTCGAAGAAAGGCACAGAAGTTAAAATTACTAATAGAATACTAGCTACGGATTCTGATATCGAAGAAAATGCTATGTTTATGTACACACTTTTTGGTGATGGACATGAAATGTTTAATATCGATCAAGACACTGGTATCGTTACATTTGTTGGTGACAAAATAGACCGCGAAGAAAAAAGTAATTATTTGCTAAAAATAGTAGCAAGAGATAGAGGGGGTTTAAGTTCAGATGCAACATTAACAATTACAGTCGTAGATGAAAATGATAATGTACCCATATATAAACAATTAACAATACCATTCGGAGAGAATATTGATTTGTTGGAAGCCGATGACAATGTTCAAGTAAAAATATACAAAGAAAAAAAGAATGAAGCATCAGGGAGTCTTGTAAATGTAGAAGTGAAACCAAGGAACAAATTTCCTCTAAAAATTGGAGACCTAGGTCCGTTATTTTTAGTACCAGAAAATGTAGCTATAGGTTCAACAATATTAAAATTAGGTGCCATTGACATGGATAGTGGAATTAATGGTCAAGTCAGATACGAATTTATTTCAGAAGTATTTATACCTCCGCATGAAGTATCCTCTGATTCTTTACAAATTAAACGATATTTTGTAATAAACGAAAGACATGGACATATTATTGTTGCAAGAACATTACCTCCTGAATCAGAATTTAGATTAAATATATCAGCATTAGATGGCGGAGAGTTGAGTGACCATATCTCTGTCCGATTTTTTATAAAAGACATCAACGATCATTATCCTATGTTCAAAAAATCATGGTATATGTTTAATGTTGAGGAGGCTCAGTATACAAGAAAAGTTCTAGGCAAGGTAGATGCCACTGATGCTGATTATGGACAAAACGCCAATATTTCTTACTTTATCCAACCATCCAGCCAAGAACTGCCATTTGAAATATCACCTTTGACTGGAGTGTTCAGTGTTAATGGTGAACTTGACAGAGAAAAAGAAGACAAATATGTACTGACCGTTGTAGCAAGAGATAACGGAGCAGATAATAAACTATCTTCTTCAGTAAGTGTAGAAGTACAAGTATTAGATGTAAACGACAACGCGCCAAAGTTCTATGGTTACAATGAATTATTGAAGTGGCAACATCCAGAAGCAGATGAAATTTCAAACCATAACTTCGAATCAGTTATGATGTTACCTATTTATAAAGCTACTTTAGAAGAAAATTCACCTATAGGAACTACTGTTACTAAGGTATATGCGAATGATTCTGACTTTATTGGAAATGGAAACGGCTTGATTCTCTATAGCTTACCACAAAAAAAGAATCAATTAAATCTATTTGCCATTGATTCTAAGGAAGGAATAATCACTACAATGGGCAGATTAGATTATGAAACGCAATCGGTACATAATGTAACGGTAGTAGCTTCAGATTTAGGATCGCCTAGTCTAAGTTCAACTGCCATATTGATGCTGACTGTCACTGATGTTCCTGATGAAGTTGAAATGTCAGATAAACCTGTATTCATATCAAGATACTATGAATTAGAAGTAGAAGAAAACATTGAAACACCAATTGAACTAGTCACTTTAAATTTAACTGAGCATTATGAAAATACGAAGATGAAATACTTTATTCTAAATGAAGACGTACCTGGTATTAAGAAAATGTTTGTGATTGATCCTCGTAATGGTACTCTGTATTTGGTAAGAAGTCCAGATCGTGAAGTTAAGGATATTTATGAAGTAATAGTAAGGGCTGAAAGACAGAAAGTGAGCAGAGATATGCCTCACATGATTTATCCAGTAGCCGACGATGTTCTAGAAGGAATGAGTAAATATGACGTAAAAGTGTTGGTACGAATAAAGGACGTGAACGACAATGCTCCCAAATTTATAAACGGTGGCAGACCATTAGTGACTGCTATACCTACAACTGCAGCATTTGGTTATCAAGTTATACAGTTACAGGTGGGTTTTCAAAATATTTTGAATATGACAATAACTATAATGATTTTTTCTCTTCTTTTGGATTATAAAAATAAACAGATATGTAAAATAACAAACTGTTTCTACACAATATCATAAAAGCTAATATTTGACAAATAGGCTGTATCTACTTAAACATCTTAGTACTTAGTACCAAATAATACGTGATGATGCGGCTCGAATGCTCAGATGGTCGGTGAGGTTGTCTTCAGCAGATTACGGGTTGTAGAAAATGATAGAATTGCTTATAGTCTTGAATTTATTGGGCAAATATACTATTGATTACAAATTTGGATGAGTGAACAAATTGTACGTTAGATCGGTCGGTTGATTTTTTAAGTCTGGCTTTTTGCTTTAAATCAGGTTCTGATAAAATTGTATACTCTTACCAGGCTACTGACGCTGATACAGGAATTAACGCTGACATTCGTTATCAAATAATCAACGAGCAAGCTCCCAGATTTGCCATCGACGCAGTTTCTGGAACTGTACGTGTTGTGTCATCTCTAACTCGAGATGCTGGACGAGTGTTTGGATTCGACGTAAAAGCGACTGACAAACGAGGGGCTGATGATGGAAAATCGGCGATTGCTAACGTATTTGTATGTAGTTTTCTTATTTTAGCAAATATGTATTAGTAGAAAACTAAGTACCTAAAACCCAATTTAATTGTATGAACTCAAAGAATGACTTTGTAGATTTTAATTTTACTAACTTAGCTACCTTTCCCGGCTTCTATCTATTGCTGAAAACTGCATCCGTTGCGTAGTTTAAAAGATCTAAGCGAACAGACACCGGAAACGACTTCATTTTATAATGTTACTCGAAGCTAGTTTTTAGTAAATTAGTAAACTAAAATAAGTAATGTTTGTTAAGAATATTCCTTATCTCTTTCTTTCTTTCTTCTCTCTTTATCTTTCTTTTTCTCCTTAGGCCTTATAGCCATTATCAAGTAGTGTATACAAACGGAGAATATCACCTAGACAACTTTATCGTTTTCGAAACTGCTACAGAGTGTCTAGACTGCACTTATTTATTACATTTCATTTATTGTTCTTAGTTTTAGTACTGATTTCTCTTAGAGTTTTATAATGTGAGTACACGTAAGAACATTTTTATGAATTACTAGCTGTTCCCGCGACTTCGTCCGCGTGGATATTAACTTAATTTTTCTAAAATAAAAGTAGCCTAATTTACTACTTATTACATCAGCTACCTGCCAAAAAAAGTCCCGTCAAAATCGGTCCAGCCATTTCAGAGATTAACCGGAACAAACAGACAGATAGACAGACCAAAATTGTAAAAAATGTTATTTTGGTGTATGTACCATATTTATATTCATATGCATGTAGTAAAAAACGGTTATTTCAGTATTACAAACAGACACTCCAATTTTATTTATATGTATAGATGTGACATTATTAAGTATGGATGTTTGTTACTCTTTCACGCAAAAACTATTTAACCAATTTTGATGAAACTTTACAGTAATATAGCTTACGCATCAGAATAACATATAGGCTATATTCTATTCTATTCTCATAATTCTTAATAAGTTATATTTAGCGTGATCCCTCATGGGCATACGTATTTAAATTTAATATTAAAAGCAATATATATTAAATTCAAGCCCAAATATTATTTAAATCTAGATGAGCCGGTGAACTTAGGACTTATTATCATCTACGAACGCTTTATTATAACTATACACCTGTTCTTTAATAATTCAATATATTATTTCTTATATATTACTAACTGGACCCGCGACTTCGTCCGCGTCTGTCTGTTTGTTTCGGCTATTCTCTGAAATGGCCGGACCGATTTTAACGGGACTTTTTTTGGCAGGTAGCTGATGTAATAAGGTGGAACTTGACTATTTTTATTTTAGAAAAATAAAATAAAATTCCACGCGAACGAAGTCGCGGGAACATCTAGTTCTTTATAAATAGAGAGAGAAGTTAATAGACTTGTTTTATTTGCAGGTGTATGTGCTAGATGAAAATAAACAACTAGTGCTGGTTGTCGGTGCAAAGCCAATGGAAGTTGAAAAGGGAATCATTAATATTACTCGGACCCTTACTGGGATAACAGGGTATGATATTAGAGTGAGACGGCTAGAATCAAACGCAAAGGCATCCATGGACGGAGTCGCGTAAGTTAACATTTATTTCATTTTGTCGATCGAAAACAAATATTTAATTCTATTTTCCAAAAAACAGCAATATTCATAATATTAATACTAGATTTAAAGACAAACTCGCTGTCCCCAAGTATCGTTTAGAAAAAGTTAATAGGTCTTTTATGGGAATAGGTATAAAAATTTACAATAAGATACCAAAGGATATGTTGGAATTACCCTTAAATAAATTCAAAACATCTGTTAAATCATATTTACTGAGCAAAGCCTATTACTCACTAAACGATTACTTGAATGACGAGTGTGCATGGCAATAGTTGTTCATGCACTGAATTTTCATTTAATGTTAGACATAGACACCTATATAAAAATACATTGTAAATAAACTGGCTTTAAAAAAAAAAGTAATTCAATTGAGTTTCTTGCCAGTTCTTCTCAATTGGATCTATATAACGAACTGGACGGTAGGGAAAAAATAAAATTAGAATGTAAAAATTTGACGTTCATAAGCGGCTAAAATGTCCTACAAGAATAAATGATTTTTGAATTTGAATTTGAATTTACAAATCGATTTTTAAAAAGTTATCATTATTTTTAAATATCAAATAAAATACATTTGTTCCAATTTTTTTTATATGCTCCTAATATTATTGAAATCACTATATCCCTTAGGAGGTTAGGAGTTAGAAGGTTAGGAGGTTCCAACTCCTAACGGTGTCCTCAGACTAAAGTCGTATCCGTCAGGCGGGAGTTGGCCTTTAGCCGCTCCATAAGTCCTTCCTTTGGTTTGGAGTGCCATCTGCACTCGCCTCCTATCGTCCGGTGAAGCTGTAAAGGCCAGCTGCGGCCAACATTATTAAAGTTCGAAAAAAAAAATTAACAATCGATTAAAAAACATTTTTTCCTAATTTTTTATATATGCCCCTAATATTGAAATCACTATATCCCCTTTATTCGATCCCCTGTCAAATCAATCAGTGATCGAATTTACTATGGCCTGAGCTGAGGTTCGAGCCCCTAGCGGTGCCCTCAGACTAAAGACGTATCCGTCAGTCAGGAGTTGGCCTTCAGCCGCTCCATAAGTCCTTCCTTTGGTTTGGAGTGCCATCTGCACTCGCCTCCTATCGTCCGGTGAAGCTGTAAAGGCCAGCTGCGGTCAACAGCATAAAGTCCGAAAAAAGAAAAATTAACAATCGATTAAAAAACATTTTTTCCTAATTTTTTATATATGCCCCTAATATTGAAATCACTATATCCCCTTTATTCGATTCCCTGTCAAATCAAACAGTGATCGAATTTACTATGGCCTGAGCTGAGGTTCGAGCCCCTAGTGGTGCCCTCAGACTAAAGTCGTATCCGTCAGGCGGGAGCTGGCCTTCAGCCGCTCCATAAGTCCTTCTGCCATCTGCACTCGCTGCATCAATGAAGCTGTAAAGCCCAGTTGCAGTATTACATTATATAAAAGAAGTCACTACTACATATTATTCATCATTTTTATATTAAAACTAGCTTTTGCCCGCGGCTTCGCTTGCGTTAATTTATCTCCTTAAGGGTGGAATTTATCAAAATCCTTTCTTAGGGGATGCCTACGTCATAGTAGATTTATGCACGCAAAGTCTCAGCCGGATCGATTTAAATTTGACAAAGTTTCATACAAACTTTCATTCCCTATTTTATCCCCTTGGCGGTAGAAATAATCAAAATCCTTTCTTAGCGGATGCCTACGTCATAACATCTACCGGCATGCCAAACTTCAGCCCGATCCGTCCAGTAGTTTGGGCGGTGCGTTGATAGATCACTATGTCAGTCACCTTTGAGAGTACTTTGCTGCAATGTTTGGTTTCGATTTCTATCGTGAAACTAGATGCAGTCTGATAATAGAAAGGTTAAACATAATAAACTATACTTTCATTATTTTTTTTTTATATTGTCAACAAATTCTCCTGTTCTTATTTTGATTTCTCTATCCACCTAAAGGTAATCTGGAAGAGATTGCTTAGCAGTAAGACCATCTTTCAATGTATATTTATATATACAAACAAAGTTTCAATGTATATTTTCTATTTTAATTCTTTTTTTTTGTTCTGTAATTTCTGTAATTAGTGCAATAAAGAGTATAAGAAATAAAACAATTAATTGTATTATATATTATACTATTTTTGTGTATAATAATAATAATAATCTCAGGACAATTCACACAGCGCCATCTAGACCCAAGTTAAGCTAGCTAAAGCTTGTGTTATGGGTACTAGATAACTGATACAAATACATAATTTTTTTTTTGTAAATACATACATAATATACATAGAAAACATCCAGACTGAGACAAACAATCATACTCATGAATAGAAATGTTTGTGCCGTGCGAGGAATCGAACCCGCGACTATCGGTCGAAAAGCGGTGTGCTAGACCGCTAGACCACCGAGGTCGTCGTATAAATGTTTGTTGAAGATTTAAAAACGAGAGTGTATGAAATTTAAAAATTTCATTCGCCTGTACAAATCTACATTATCCAAAAAACAGTAGAGATGCAAACGATTATAATTTATTAATATTTTAAGGAAATTTAGAAGCTTAGAACCAGTTTGATATCCACTTATCAGTGACCTATTGTTTTCAGGACTGACGTGTATATTTACGCTGTGGATCCCATGTCCAACGCGATCATCGACATGGAAGTGCTACAGAAGTAAGCTATCTGTCCTTTACCTTTTTATTTACCACTAGCTGTACCCGCGACTAAATAACATATATTTACTAAAATAAAAGTAGCCTAAGTTACTCCTTATTACATCAGTTACCTGGCAAAAAAAAGTCCCGCAGCCATTTCAGAGATTAGCCAGAACAGAAAGACAGACAGACAAAAATTGTAAAAAATGGTATATTCAAAACTAGCTGTAACCGTGACTTCGTCCGCGTGGAATTTGACTTTCATTTTCTAAAATGAAAGTAGCCTAAGTTACTCCTTATTACATCAGTTACCTGGCAAATAAAAGTCCCGTCAATATCGGTGCAGCCATTTCAGAGATTAGCCGGAACAAACAGACAGACAGACAAAAATTGTAAAAAATGTTATATTCAAAACTAGCTGTACCCGCGACTTCGTCCGCGTGGAATTTAACTTCATTTTCCTAAAATAAAAGTAGCCTAAGTTACTCCTTATTACACCTCGCAAAAAAAGTCCCATCAAAATCGGTTCAGCCATTTCAGAGATTAGCCGGAACAAACAGACAAACAGACAAAAATTGTAAAAAATGTTATTTTTGTGTATATACTATATTTATATTCATATACATGTAGTAAAAAACGGTTATTTCAATATTACAAACAGAGACTCCAATTTTATTTATATGTATATATATATATGTATAGCTTAATCTTCGTTGTCCGACAATCAGTTAGTGCGCCAGTGAAGTTGATAAAAAAAACGTAATGGAATGTGCTCGTAAAAAGTTCCTTGAACTTAGGTTGCTTATAAGCACTAGATGATGATATAAAAGGTTATCCTTTTTGATTGGATATTTCAGGATGACTGTACTTTGATAAAAAAGTTAAATTCAGATTTCCTAAATAAAGACTGTAAAATCAGCTAAAGAATTTTTTTGCAAAATATCATGTTTACAGAGATAGGTTTTGTACAAGTTATAAAGTGGCCTATCGAGTTTCTTTTTGCAAAATATTAATTTATACTTACTAATATACTAATACAGACGTCATATAAGTCAATATGTGGCCTAATTCAGCTGCCAAGAAATACCATTTTTACGGATACAGGCTTCGTATAAGATATTGAGTGGCCTATTTCAACTGCCAAGAAATAGAAATAGAAATAATCTTTATTCAAACAAACAGAGCAAGCACTTTTGAATGGTCATATTTTTTTATTCTACCACTAATTCGGAACGTAGACTATTCAAAAGAGCAACACACAAGTTTCTTGCTCATTCTTCTTGTGATGAGTCTGCATTCCGAATGAGCGGTAGAATAAAAGTACTTGACTATTCAAAAGTGCTTATATTATGTTTATTTTAATAAAGATTATTTATATTTCTATTTCTGTTTGAATTGATGGTTTAGTTGTCAGCTCGTAACCAGGGCTAGCAACCTAGTCCAAACATTGATAGAGGTAAATATCTTTGTTTACCATAAAATAGCACGTGTTAAACTACATTAATAGTTAGTATTAAATACGGAAATTAAAAAAAATTAATTAAACTACCGGATTTATACGGATGTGACCCTTGAGATAACGGAGAGCGCTTCCAGAAGGGTAAAGGGTTCCAAAACACGAACTCTCTTTGGAAGTAAACTTGAAGTTAGTACATAGCGTAGTGTTCACATTTAGTTTCATTTGTTTTCAGTTTAGCCCTCCTACGAGAGGGTAACGACTACCGAGAATGAATTATGTATTGACATGTGTAACGAGGTCGTTGGTTCTCAAAGCAGATTATTTTTTTGCAAATAATTATCTATACATATAAATAAAATTGGAGTGTCTGTTTGTAATATTGAAATAACCGTTTTTACTACATGCATAGGAATATAAAATACGGTATAACACCGAAATAATGTTTTTTACAATTTTTGTCTGTTTGTCTGTCTGTTTCGGCTAATCTCTGAAATGGCTGGACCGATTTTGACGGGACTTTTTTTGGCAGGTAGCTGATGTAATAAGGAGTAACTGTTTACCATCATGGGCCATATCTTTGTTTACCACCGTAGTATTACTATAAAAAAAAGTTCAAAGCCTTTCTGTTGATTATTATTTTAATATTCTCATATTGATGTTGATCTTGCGCTAATTATAGAAAGCTTGAGGTCATGTTATTTTTAGTATAAAATCAAATTAACATTAAAGATCTATTTTTAAATAAGCTACCTAAATAAGATTTTAATTTAAAAGATGAATCACTAATATTGTCTTTAGAATTATACGATACGGTGTAGTGGTGATAAAGTTATTTTACATAAATTAGGTCTCGAATTCGATCTCGGTAATGTGAATACAGGAAACATTCTATTGTGAGGTGGATAGTATACCTAATTAAAAGTTTGCTCTGACAAAGTTATGAAATTATCATGAAAATTTCACGTCGAAACGTATAACTAACCCAGTTTCGTTTTTACATCTAACACTAATTGAATGCAGAATATCATAAGAGTCTGTATTAGACCTACCATGAATAAAGATATTTTGAATTTGAATTTGAACTTGAAAATGTTTTGAATATAAGTGAGAAATAATAACTACAAACTACCAATTTTACAGTAACACATAAAATAAAAACTACAGCTAAGTTTAACTTTTTTTATACTATATATAAATACTACGGGACAAAAAAAAATACAATACAGTATTCTAAGATACGAGTGCACCTCTTTTATCTATATATACAAATAAAATTGGAGTGTCTGTTTGTGATATTGAAATAACCGTTTTTTACTACATGCATATGTATATAAATACGGTACATACACCAAAATAACATTTTTTACAATTTTGTCTGACTGTTTGTTCCGGCTAATCTCTGAAATGATTGGCCCGATTTTGACGGGACTTTTATTGGCAGGTAGCTGATGTAATAAGAAGTAACTTAAGCTACTTTTTTTAGAAATATAAAGATATATTCCACGCAGACGAAGTCGTTTGTACAGCTAGTATTATAATAAGTTTCTTGATACGGCAACTGTATCAGTGCCTACTGTACGATTTACCATTGACTCTGAAAAAATAAAAACTATTTAAAATTAATATTAAAAATTTATTTAATCACGTGCTAACTATGAGCCTCATAAACAAGCTCAGAGTCACTCAGAGGGCTATGCTCGGAGTTACTGTACGTGATCGAATCAGAAATGAGGAGATCCGCAGAAGAACCAGAGTGACAGACACAGCCCGAAGAATTGCAACATTGAAGCGACTCGTAGGACAGATAGCCGTTGGGGCAATAAAGTCCTCGAATGGCTACCACAGACCGGAAGACGCAGCGTGGGAATGCCTCCAGAAAGGTGGACCGACGATCTGGTCAAGATCGCTGGAAGACATTGAATGCGAGTAGCGCACGACTGATCATCGTGGAAATCTTTAGGGGACGCCTATGTCCAGCAGTGGACGTCTTCCGGGCTGCGATGATGATGATGATGATGATCTAATCACAAATTATTAATTTACCATTTTTCATTAACTGCTACGTACTTTCAGTATTTTCTTTCTTGATCTCTGTTCAAATTTAGTAGCTACACGTACATTGTCTTTTATTATTTTCTTACTATTATTCCAGGTCTCTATTAAAAAGAGAGGCAGATCTCCGCCATGAGCTGGGTGGATTCAAAGTTTTAGAAGTTGGTGGAACAGCTATGGTTCAAGCAAGAAGTGGAAAGTTACTCAGCACTATGGAGATAAGCATCGTAGCACTTGCTTGTATTGTGTTTGTTGGTGCCTGTACAGCTGCTATTTGCATATTGTGCGTCAGGAGGAGCAGGAGGTATGAAATCTATTGATTCAATGATTATATCCTCATTATTTTCGACAATTATCTTAGAAAATTCACAATGATTCATCGCACAATTTATTCTTACTAATAATATAAATGGCAAAGTAAGGATATTTGTTACGCTTTCACGCACAACTACTGAACTGATCGTCATAAAATTTTATACACATATTCTTGGAGGTATTAGAATGAACATAGGATCCTTTTTTTTAAAAAACATGTTTTTGATTCAATGCGAGCGAAGCCGCTGGTAAAAGTTAGTATTAAATAATGATTGATTGTAGTTACGTATACCAATATTTCAATGTGTTTTGTCACTTCTACTTTAATTCTAGCTCTGAATATTAAAATAATGGAATTCAATAAAAGTTTTGCAAAACAAAGACAAGAAAGTGTCGTATGAAAAATTATCCGTCCTAAAAATTTTAATTTATTCTTTTTCTTTGCTATAGGATTTCATATAAACAATTTTCTAATAATACTTGAGATATAATAATAATAATAATAATCTCAGGACAATTCACACAGCGCCATCTAGACCCAAGTTAAGCTAGCTAAAGCTTGTGTTATGGGTACTAGGTAACTATAGGATTTCATATAAAAAATTTGTAATAATACTTGAGATATTTAAGAGTAGATCTTTTAATATTTTCTGTTTTAGCTACTACAGGTAAGCAACGTTTATTTTAATGCCATTGTATTTCAGACCCCAACGTCATCACTAAAGAAAGCATGCAACTCACTACTACATTTAGCGAAACTCGAACCTTTGCCTTCGTTGAATGCTTCGTAGTTAGCACTATTGTATAAATGTAGCACTATGTAATTTTGCACTCACCCCCTTTCAATCACATCTATGTTTCTTTAATATAAAATGTTACCTCTTACTGAATCCTCTTCTATCTTTTGCCCTAACAGACAACGTCAGAAACCATATTCCCAACGTCTTAATGCTTTTTCTACTGAACACCTAACTAAATACGGAGGCCTATTCCCATCCGGGGCCAACCAGTGTCAAGAATTGAACCAGTCGTACAGTGAAGCCGATTCTTATATAGATGTGGTCAATCACAATGTAGCAAAGAAGATATGTCCACACGGGAACACGGTGGAAGACTTCGGTAAAGCGCATCAGAAATGCGTTAATAATGAGTTCAATCCGAAACACGAAAGGATGTGCATCAAATTCAATCAACGACCAATGCAGAAAAGGTGCGTCAATATCTATTGATTTTGCAACAATTTTTAACCGTGTGCTTAACTAACACATATTATATATTCTTTATTTTTATTAATATTTCAGGAATGTGTCTAGGCTCTAACTGTATTGGTCTAAATTTATCATTCTACACTAACCAATTTAATACTTTCCCAACTAACATAAAACTTTATACACCACGTCGAGTTTTGATTGTGATTGCTTACTCTACTATTGTATTAATATTGTTTATCTTTCCGCCTAATATAACTATATTTAGCATTGTAATATAATAATATTTATTTACCTTATAACCATGCTTTATATTTACGTTTACCTTTTAAACTATATTATAATCAGAATTATTTTCACAACAGTTTACTTTACTTTGCATTTGTATTTGTATTTATACTTCTTATTATTACTATTATTTTGTATTATAATATGATAATTCAAGTTCTGTGCAGATTCACTGATGTATCATAGTCTGTTTAAATTCTAAAGACTGCGTCTTTAATCTATATTAAATTTGAAAGATTCTTGATCCATTTATTTTGTACATCATTTTGAAATTATACAATAAGTTAAAATAAAGAAACTGTGATGATAATCACAATCTCAACTCGATTACATTACCATCAACTTTCATTGATAATGTTTAATATGTTAATGATAATTCAGAAATAATAGATAATGCGACCGTCATATTCATATTTTGGTTTACTGTCATTGGTGAATCTAACACATTACACGATACCTACACGATATTTAACATGAGGTCTAACACACATACCGTTCATGTACATCCAACATAGGAAGGGGCAAGACACATCGATAACGTCAGTGAATTCCAGTGGCCAAGATTCCGGGATCGCTGAAGGTGTTCGATGTCCGTGCGGACAGTCCAGCCTGCACACTTCAGAAGAGAGCAGCGGGTAAGAATACTTTTAAAAAAAGAAATGTTTGTAATGCCCATAACAATATCCATCTTGTTAACAATTCTAATACTCAAAATGAAATTAGTATTTTAAGATAACTTATAGAATTTACCTAATTACCATTTTTCTCATAATGATAAATATGAACTCCATTTAAACAAACATTTGACAGTCTCGGTGGTTTAACAATTTAGTTCACCGCCTTACTTTTCGATGGTCGCTGGTTCGATTCCTCACATAATGCAAACATCTGTATTCATGGGTATGACTTTTGTATTGGTCTGATCTGGTCTATTTATATGTATATTATTATTCTTTTTTAAGATATGTTAAACTATATCAAACCTCTAATATATAACTATCTTGCTATACGAGTACTTCAAATAATTTTGTTCGAGCTGAGAATTTGATTGATATAAATTAAGAATCAACATTGAAAAATTTCAATCTCTTCAGATAGTATTTTTATCTTTTCAGTTGCAGTTACGAAGATTCTTTAAAGTCAAACCACAATCAGGAAGGTCGAAAGATCTTCCATCGATCCGAGCAGGACCACAGATTCCTTCGACGAGCTTCTTTCGCTCATCACCCGACCATCGATCCTCGACCTATCCACTATAGAAGACAGTCATTCTCCGAAAACATGCAGCGGCACTTCCCGCCTTTGGAGAGAATTGGATCTGAAGCCAGATTAACTAGGCAGATATCATCTCCAAACGTTTCCAATATAACTCAATCGTACTTCATGAACACTAACAAGCAGAATGTGAGAAGAATGAATGAGCCTATGATTGATTACGATCACAGTGAAGCAGAGGATGTGTTCGATACGAGGATGAAGAGAAAGCCAAGTGCAAAGAACAATAGAGGGAAGTTTATGGAGCTGGGTGGGCAGGCTGCTGTGTTTGTGGCAACGCCTGCTGCAGCAGAAATAATGCGCAGACAAGGCAGCGAGAGGCTTATGTTTGCTAGGCCATTATAGCATATTTAGTTCAAATCTGTGATTGTTGGAATACTCTACGAACTTCTATTGTGATAGACAATTGAGTTTATGATTTGTGCAATTTAGTTGTATTTATAGTGTTTTATGTGTATACATAATGTAAATAAGACTTAATGCCTGTACATGTTAGTGTAAGATATTGTTCTTCTTGCCTACCGTAGCTTTACCTTCATAATCTTGGTACTTATGTCCAAAGAGAGTGGTTGCAGTTAATAGTGCCATTTTGGGGATGTCTTCAGAAAGTAAAAGGAAGACTTTATAGTGTTACGATAGTTAATATAATAACCACCTTATGCATATTTATGTTAAATGACGTTTTTGTAATTTTGTAAATACTGTGTAGTGTAAGAATTGTAATAAAAATATTACTTTATAGGATTTCTTTAGTTTCTTTTATTAAATTTAATACTTATACTATAGATAGATCCTGCTGTTTATCATAACAATCTATTATATCGATTACATTACAAAACCCAGATCTCTATCTATTAGATATATAGTTTATTATTACTTCATTATTACTATAGCCACTCTCGCTAGAGAGTTCTCTCATTTTGAGTTCCTTCACTATCTCTTCTCTTTTGTCAAATTTTCACACGCAACGCAAAATATAATAGACCTTTTCACTCTCCAGGCATAAAACACAGCTGAGTAGTATAGTAGTAACCAATAAATTCTATTAATGATTACTGTAGAATTTTACAAGTTTCAAAATTTGGTTGAATTACATATTCAAATTAATAATAAAATAAAAAAAAATATATATTAGATAGTGTATAGTTGAGTGAAATATTGTAGAGTAGAGTAGTGACACAAAGCAAGGTATTGTATGTTGAACTCAGGTATTGTACCTTATGAGCAGTAAAATAAAGATTATTGTTATCATTATTATAATGTTAATTTAGATCTTTTAACAAATAAAAACATTATTATGTTGGAATATATCATCACCATAGTCCTTTGGCGTGGCGAGCATGTTGGAGATCAAAAAGTGATTAAAACCTGATTAGTAATATTTATTTTATAATTGTCAAATATAGAACTCTGTTTTCTCAAAAGTACCATTGTCTTTTGTTACTTCTTCAGTATTTGTTACACCGCTGACTATATCAACATACATACATCATCATCTGCTTCTTCCTTATCCCATTTATTTGTGGTCGGCGTAATATGTTTTGCTCTTCCATTCATCCCTGTTCGCAGTCATCTCGTTATTTACTCCCATTCTTACCATTTCATCTTTCACATAGTCCATCCATCTCTTTTTCGGCCTTACTCTGCACTTATAACTATCCACATTAATATGTAACACCTTTCTTAAATTATTATCCTTATTCCTACGCATTACATATCCATACCATGATAGACGATTACTCTTTAACCTCTCCAACACCGGCGCCACTTTCATACTGCCTGATTATATAGACGTTATAATAAAAATATATATTCGCAATTTGGTGTTTTATAATGGGTTACAACTATTACAATAATCTAATGAATCACACAATAATCTATTGATATTTCGAATACCATAGCTAAGAAGTCGCGAACTAAACATATCATGAAATCTGAGGAAAACAAACAAAGGTACACGTGCATCTGTAATCAGGAGTGTTATCACGTCTTAAGTTCTTTGCACTTTGTAAAGTTATTTATTTCAGCTCGAGGTCACAATTTTAGGAAACATTGTTGACATTGAAATGAGACTGGAATGGGAAACAAGCTGATGATATACTGATGTAAAGTCTATAAGCATATTATTCCAATATTTCTAGGGTCTACATCAGGGGCGCGTGAATTTGTGGGGCCCTGCGCTAAATCTACTTAGCCTACCTAATTATATTACTCAACTAAAAAAGTACACCGACCAAAAACAAGCGACCAGAAATTCCCCGTTCCTTTCGATAGACGCGCACTTGCATTGGTTGATTGATCTCAGAGTTGCCAACCTTATGATAGGTTTTTTAATATTCTAGATATTTTTCTATATTTTAGATATCGTTTCAGTGGGAAATCGGGGCCCTTTGTAATTGTGGCCCTGGGCTGCAGGCCAAAAAGTCCATAAGTGGATCCGGTCCTGGTCTAGATGGCGCTGTGTGAATTGTCCTGAGATTATAGATAGATTATTTATTCCAAATAGTATCTGTTAGTGCGGTAAGGACTGGCATTATTGAAAGATATACATAAAATAAAAATACTTAACAATTTTTTTTAATGGGTGATAATGAAATGATGCACCCACTGATATAAGTACTTAGATATACTTCTTTAAAAATATATACATAATATATATTGAAAATACCCAGATCGAAACAAACTATCATGAATACATGAATACAAGTGTTTTACCCGTCGAATCGAATCCGCGACCATCGGAAGTAAGACCGTCAAATCATAGGCACTATTGAACATTTTAATGTACCATCAGTTCGGAATTTAAATAGTTCGATCCGAAAAAACTTTGACAATTTTTCTCGTCTCAAACTAAAATCAACATAAAATCCTTACTCATATTCATCTCAAATGAGATTGTACATAATTATAATAAACCATATTAAAACTAAAGTTTAGGTTACATACAACTATCATACACCGTTAAATTTAATTAAATTACTATAAACTTATCAGTCGACAATCAATCAACGCAAGTTAAGGAGAGCAGTCCCAAATAAAACATTCATTAGAATACACAATCAACAGGAAAGCGGAACAAACAAAAAACTACTTACAGTAATATTAAACTTTGACTTTACTCTTAGTGGGAAATAGACTGTTACGGACCACTGGCCGATATAATAACAACTAGAGACAGGGGCGGATCTACCTGCGTTTTTGGACTAGCCCAGGGCCCCTAGCCTTTATGGGCTATTTATGTAGATTTAAAATAATCTAAAATATTAAAAAATCTACCATAGGGTTGACAACTAGCATTGCCAGGGGGGAAAGGGGATTGTTAGTAATGTCGACTGATGATCTCATTGCTAGCAATGTACCATGTTAGGTCGACCTCCACGCGGTTCCCCCTGGAAACCATCGTGATAAATTCTTAATGAATTTGTCACGATAGGCTAACTGACCTGACCTCATGCTCATTTTATCATCCTCCACTGGTGCCCCGCCAGCGTAAACCGTTAGCGCAGGCGGGTGCACCATTTCATTATCAACCATAAAAAAAACTAGCATTGCCAGACGCCCCTTATTTCCCGGGACGTCCCATATTTTAAGCTCAGATTAAAATGTCCCGGCGGGACTAACTCTGTCCCGTATTCTAACCGTGCTCCGTTTTTTATTATTAAATTGATCGATCTAAAAGCACAAAAATACTCACGCACGTAACGTTCAGTATGAAAATTAAAATTATAATGTTGTCCGCAAATAAACTTATTCTTACTAAATTGTACCCATAATTACTTATAAACCCATAATTTAATAAAAAGCGAATTTATGACTGTTTTTAATTACGATTATAATTGTATTTTTTTTTAAACCAATAACAATATATTAAACCAGACTTGCTCTTCAGAAAAATATATAAATGAATAAAGAATGTCACTATATAATATTGTTTTTCATTTGTCCCATGTAAAAAACTAAAATCTCATAATTTTTTGCCTACTTCAGCATTTGCCTCTTGTAGGCTGAAAAAAAATCTGACACCTCTATTGATAACCCTGAGATTAATTAACCCATGAATGTGCGTGTTAATCGAGTATTTTTATAGTTGACTTGTAAAATTAGGTAGGCCTCTAATAATATTGGTTTTAGCCCGGGGCCCCACAAATTCACGGTCCGCCCCTGACTATGGAACCAATAATAGAAAACAAAGAGATATAAATGTTTGCGAAATGTTAGTCAAACACAACTAGGTGCTTTGAAACGGTCCGTGTGACCATTTGTTGCGGTTATTTGTGGCTTTCCCATCCGTTAGTGAAAACCTTTTGATGTTCAATAGACCTCTATTCTACAGTGTTCCCACGTAAAAGCTTTGTAATAATTTTCTAATACAATTAAAAGGGAATTGAAACTTTCGTTATGGTGTAAAATCATTTCTATGTTTTGGTAAATTATTGGCCACTTTATATAAGCGAGCGATAAGAAACAGCTTTTGTCCATCAAAATTTGTATAGTATAATATTCTATATATATAATTCTTGTATATATATTATATATGTTTAGTGCAATAAAAAGTCAATACATAAGTAAATATATATACATACATATATACATATATACTACCTAATCCGACAAAAGTTGCTTTGCAATATAAATTAAAAACGCTATTAAAAAAAAGAGGTGGGTAGTAGAAGGATGAAAATTTAGGATTTAATACCAATTAAAAAAAAAAATTGCCCAAATATATAAAATTGTTAGGGGTGTTACAACTTTTATCGCTTAGTGAAATGAAAAATAGTAGCCGATTCTCAGACCTACTGGATATGCATATAAAATTTCGGAGGAATATGGCAACTAACATTGTGACACGAGAAATTTATTATGTAATATTATATTATCTATATATGTATTTTATATCATCATTACATAGTATAAAACAATGTCGCTGTCGCAGTCTGTCCGTATCTATGAATGCTTAAATCTTTAAAACTACGCAACGGATTTTCAACCGGTCATCCATCTATACTCACAAACCTTCACGTTTATAATTTAAGATTATGTACAACAAAACAAGTGTATCAGAATTATCACTACAGCCTACACAAGTCCATTACTGTTTGCTGCTGCGCAACCAGATAGATAATCCCGCAGTTGTAGAACGGATAGGATTCAATATCCCTCCGAATTACGTGAGAAGTGTCACCTTCGTCGTGTCCGACTGTTTGCAACCGCGTCGCTATTACGATGGGCTAACTGACCTGACCTCATGTTCATCCTATCATCCTCCACTGGTGCCCCGCCCGCGTAAACCGTTAGCGCAGGCGGGTGCACCAATCCATAATCACCTATAAAAAAAAAAAACCGCGTCGGTACACAAGCCACGCTAGCAATTCTCCCACTATGAGAGCATTGCAATTATTAAATTTATTTTTAGGTAAGGTCCAAGATGCTGACGTATATACAGAAGCCTTGCATTCCATAATTACTAAAATAAGAATATATTCATCATCGTATAGTTTTAAGTAGTATAAATAGTTTTAAAACATAAACGTGTTGGCAATTAGCTGTAAGTTTATATTGTTAATTAAATAAATAAAAAATAAAATAAAAGTACATTTTCCTTCCGTTGCAATATGAATAGACTTTAACCGTTTAATATAATTAACTCCAATATTATCATGGGCTAAGCTTGAGATAATAATAAAGTAATTTATCAACGTC